GCATCTAATGATCTTTGGAGTAATATTATCAGATTTGTCTGTTTAATTATTGCAGGTAGGAAAGTGGATGCTACAACTTACTTCCATGAACAACCGGAGAGGTATGAGCAGCATTCTTGTCAAAAACAAAGCTCTCGCATTTGTATTCTTTGGCTCTATTCCGCTCCAATCTCCTGTACACGACCAGGACCAAAACGCCAAGTACAGCAATGATTGCAACAACAGCCACAATGACACCTAGTACAAGGCCAAGCTTGACAGTGGTTCGCTCTTTTTGTTTTCTAGTAGGAGGCTGAACTGCTAGAGCTTCTTTATGGCAGAATGAGGATGGCCGTTGATACTTGGAACTTGTATTTTTTGACAGCAATTAAATGAATCAATGACTTTCCTTTTTGGAATTTGATGCAAGGCAAGAAGGTAACATTCCTATTAAAAGGTTATTTGACACATCAACGAAGGTAGGTTCTCGTGGCAGGATACACTTGCTCGAAGTTCACCACTTAGCTGATTTTTGGCAAGATTTATGGATTCAATTGATGGCAAAGAAAACAGAATGAAGGAATTGGTCCTTGAAGTTTATTAGATGAGATATCAAGTATTTGAAGACGATTAAACTTAATGAAATCTGGAGGAATTTGGATCTCAAAGCCATGCTCCTAAGATTGATACGTACCAGGTTGTTGCCTAAAGAAGGAAACTTAGGTCCAAGAGGATTGTTACTGATATCTAGCTCTTCAAGCTGTGATAGGCCTTTCAGATCTGGAATACTTCCATTTAACAGATTATCAGCCAAAACAAGACTTTTCAGGTTCTTGAAAGTGGCAATCTCTGGGGGATGCCACCCTGAATGAAGTTGGAACTAATGTTTAGCACCTCAGAGAATCAAGCCTATCAACCTTGGCAGGTAATGGTCCCCATATTCCCAGGGATACTAATGACAGCCTTTTCAGATTGGAAAGCTTAGTTATGACTGTAAAGAATGAATCAATTGAAAATCCCTGGGACAGAGTTCTGTGAGGTATGGAAAAGTTTGCAGCAGATGGTTTTGGAACCTTTGAAGGGCTGCTTTTATTTCCAACAATAGTTAACTCAGTAATGTGATTACCTGAGCACAAGATGACTAAAGAAGGTGACTGAGGGAGAGAACAAAAGTTTGTCCAGTTATTCCATCCTTTAAGAACGTCTGGATATTCAAGAAATTGTTGAACTCGGTAAAGGATTCTTGTTTCTGCAGGAACTAGCTGTGCACTAGGAGCATGAACAAGCAGGAGTAGGAACAAAGACAGCAAGAAACTGTACCCAATACGAAAAACCTCCATTTCTTGGGAAATGAAGTGCTAATCAACCCACTGCAAAACCTCAAATTTCTTCCACAGTAATATGCCAACAAGAATTTAGCTAAATCCTAGTTTACATGTAGCACTCTGAGGTGGAACTGCAAGCAGAGCAGTTAAAGAAAGCAAAAGCATGAGATCCTAGTTTACATGTAGTATATTCAAAGTTTAACTAAAGAAGCATTAGGACCGAATCATACTCTATATTCTGCAAGATTGCAAGAAAGATTTAACGAAGAGAATGATTAAAGAATTAATGAAAAACTACAGAATTGTCCTCTCTAGTTGTACTAGAAAAGATTCTCTGGAAGAGGAGGAGATGGCAGTTGGAGGAAGAACATGGTGGGAAGTGCTTTCAAGAACTTCAAAATGTGAAGGAAAAATTTAATGGGGTGGATAGAGTCAGAGATCTGAGGTCGAAGGGATTGAAGTTTCCATGCAAGTTAAGGTAATGAGGCCAATAATGTGGTGGTTTCGCACTCATTGAGGCTGACTGAAAGACAGGGAACCCCATTCCCATTCCCTTTCCTGGTCCTGCGCTAACAACATGACAATTGCTTTATTAAATTGCCATTGCCAGTAATATTTAAGCCAAAGATTTGCATATATAGCTTGACGGCTGTGAACTTGTGTGATGCAAAAGTCAACAGTAGCACTGAATTCAAAGACTGCTAATAATAATGCATCCATTTGACTGATTGAATGTGCTTAGACTCACTCAACTCTGAAGCTCAAGAAAAGGTATCCCAATTGTCACTAGTGACAGCCCACAGGCACGTGCAGTTTTCTATGAAGTTTCACAGTTCGCTTTTTTTTTTTTTTTTTTTTTTATTAATTTCCTTCTTCATGAGAGGTTTCTCTCACGATATGCTTGAAATAGGACAAGAATACGGTAGCGGTACACCTGGATGATAATGGGGCAGGAGATCTTTTTTTATCCCATGATCTAATTATCATAAATCAGTTCTAATTAGAATAAAAGTATTAATTAGTTATGTATAATTGCAATTAATTGATTTTGTATATAATTTTATTATGTTATAACAGCGTGTATATAGGATGTTAATTTCATCTTTTCTTTTAGTCTTTTCTATGTTATGTTAGGCTAAACTACTAGTCGTAGTAGGAGTACCATTAGTAGTGTCGTGGTGATGACATTAGTAAATAAAGGGCATCATTGGACTAGTAATGACAATTGTAGTAGTAATTAAAAATTATAGTATGTAGGAATGGCAGCAGCCGTCCCCTCCCCTTTTCCCTCTATCCCACATCGATTGTGAGTGTTGTATGTGTACTACTTAACGTTTTCAGTGTAGTCTGAAAATCAACAAACCTTTTGGATTGGGCTGTGGGTTTCCCTTAGATAGTGTGTATGTGTTTGTGTTATTTATGGTTTGTTGGTGGATAAGGAAAATCTTGCGAGTGGTTAAAAGCCGTTGGTGAGCCTTTGACAATAATCGTGGTGTTTCCCCTCCCCCTTTCCCTCTATCCCACACCGATTGTGAGTGATGTGTGTGTGTACTATTTAAGGTTCTTAGTGTAACCTGAAAGTCAGCATGCCTTTTGGGTTGAGATGTGAGTTTTTCTTAAACAGTGTGTGTATGTTATTTATGGTTGTCGGTAAGAATGACAGCAGCAGTAGCATCAGTTACTAACAGTAATAAATTTAGTTGTTCAAGGAAAAAAAAATGAATTTACCCTATGGGCACCTGGTAGGGGTAACGGAGGTGAGGACGAGGCGGTGGCAGGGAATGTTTCTCAACCCGTCCAACTACCCCGTTGCCATCCCTATGAGTATTGTGCATGGAGAAGTTGTCAATAATGATGATAAAGTTGACAAATAAAGCCGGTACAAAACATATTAGTTCGGTAAAAATGAATCACTTTCTCACGTGATTTGATCATATTTTATTATTAACGTGAAAATTATGTTGATAAATAATCTCTAAAAAAAAAATTTCTACAAGTAACCTATCATCCCAAAATATGTTATGACTTGTAGTGATGATCGGAATCAAATTCACTCAAACTCTTCGTAACAATTACTTAAAAAAAAAGAAGAAGAAAAAAGGTAAATGAAAAAGGAGAAGTGCATCTGGGGCGGGGTTGCATTGGGACAGGGCTACAGTTACCCATCCAGGCATCTACCCTAATCAGAGTCTGTGCAATGTGCTTTTGTCGGTGGGATATGACACCGAGTGTATCGCTTGCTTCAATGATGTGTGAGTTGTACCAAATCCATTTATTCACTTGGCAGACAAGTGTGTTGGTGAGCGTAGTTGCACACATTTTCCTTTTAGCCTTTTGCTTGTGGACGATAATTGACAGCCCTTTGGCGGATGCAAAGACAAGAAAAGGTTCTCTTTACTAAACGCAGAACAAAGATAAAAAGGTGATGCTTCTTTCCAATAGACTTATCCACCTGTAGCTTGCAATCATTAAGAATTTGTTTTAAATTCCCATCACTGAGCTGGATCTGGGTCCTCCTTATCAAAAAAACTAAAGGATTGAGACTCTTTGGATAGCTAAAGTCATGAATTTTTTTATGAATTAATCTCCTGTATACTGACAACGTGGATACTTTTTTATTGAATGCATGACATATAATTTAAATTTGAATTTAAAGTCTAAATTTTGTAAACGTATCATACATGCCGATAATAAATATACTGTCAATGTATATTAAATTTACTCTTTTTACAATTATATATTTCTCTCATATTGTTGTGCTCCTAAATTGCCAAATTACATACTCCCTCTTAATTAGTTGGTTAAGTGATCACAAGAAGAAGATCAGATTAGCTGTTGATTTAACAAAACCAGAGGCAATTCAACATCTAAACCACCATGAGGATTCTTTAGGTAGTTGTTTTGGTTTGCTTATGCTTAAGAATGGATTTAAGTATATTTTAAAGATTTTTGGATGCTTTTTTTTTTTAATGAATTAATCTTCTATACATTGATAGTGTGTACACTTTTGCTATTGTGGCATGATACATAGTTCAAATTTGAATTTGAAACTTAAATTTTATATATATGTCATGTATCCAATCATGATAGTATATACACTGCCAGTGTATATAAGATTTACTTTTTTTTATAATATACATGTTATTTATATTTTCTTATTTTGTATTTTCATTTAGAAAATTTCTTAAAGGGCTTTTCAATTTTGTGCAAAGCCATGCTCTCATTTGAGTTTTATGCAAATGGTAACCTTAAAAAAAAAAAAAAAAAATCATTTTTATTGTATTATTCAAATTTTGCATAATTGTCATTTATCCATATGATAATAGTGTATATATTGTCAGTGTAGGAAAGATTAATCCTTAATATATAGGATCAATCTTTTCCTACACTCAATGTTAGATGCATGACAATTATGGCAAATTTGAATTTGAAATTTAACTTTTGTACATGTCTTATGGATCCAATAGTGATGTGTATACACTGTTCCTGTATATAAGATTTACTCATATACATAATCCTGTATATCTTTGGTTTCCAGTCTAAATTTTTGCCGCTTTGGGGCATACGATCGATCGTCAAGTGAGAGAGAATATTGCAAAGGTATTTATAGAACACTTCCAGCAGAACAAGCTCAAGTTAACTATTAAAGCCATCATTAAGGAACACAACTACAATTGATAAGAAACACTGATGATAGGTCAAGAAATACTGTGAAGCCAGTGATCAATTGATAGACAATTTAACACAAGAACACATCAAGATTTAAAGCGCCATTTACATATACTGCATTCTAATACCACATCTCGATTGTCAGAGAGAGAAAATTCCAGACACCATCATATAAGTACAATATTTGCCACATGAAAAACATAATACAATTCCAAAAGACACTGACGATTAAAGCAAAAATCAACCAACACATCATTAGGAACAAGACATCACCATTATCACTCTCACGAATTAGCCTGAATAAATATTGCATCCTTTTGACCCGTTTTTCCTCTTTAGTTAGTATGCATTTTCTGCATTTCAAGCACGCCATTAGAACATAGTGCCAATTTATAAAATAGTGTAATTAACATCTTCACTATGGTACAAAATACCATTGATCCGACGTCATTGCCTCCTATTTGAAATGGGAAGACGTGCCATTTCTGTGCACATAGTAAAAGGAAACGGAAATCAGACAATGTTTTAGTGGTCACAATTCAAGTATTCAGAACCTAAATTAAGGAAAATACAAGAAACAATACCTTCAAGATGAAACTTAGACAAAGATGCCAAGAAAGACAAAACTTATTGACAAGAAAGAACAAAAATTCAGAATTCGGAAACTGGCTTAAATCAAATATGGCTTATATAGTGGCTGGTACGCCTATCTTTGACCATTCAGGTTTCAGAATTCATGATACCATTTGTATAAGACTAGTTTGGAATTTGACCAAGGTGAATTATTTTCCTCAATTTAGTTGGTACCTTCTGATTTGAACAAGATTAGATTCATAAAAAACATATCAAGATCAGAACTGGACTAAATAATAACATGGATACGGTAACAAAAACCCACCAAAAACTGAAATGAGTTTCAGAAAATTCACTACAAGATGCATTTCTGAATGTTTTGAATTTTGCTAACAAGAAGCAAATAAAGTGATGTTGATCCTTGACCTTAAAGACAGATAAAAGTTAAGACAAATGAGTTATAGATGCAGAAGTTATATTTCCTTTGCAGAGAAGCATTGTCAGTTTTACTCAACAATTCAAGTAAACAACATCTGATGGTACCAAATAAGCACCTGAAAGGATTTCAAATCAGACAAGAGGAGTGATCAGTTTGGATTTTCCTTGAACAATGCACAAGTTCGTAAAACAACTTTAGAGCACTCCTCGTAATTTAGCGAACTTAGCAATGTACAAAAAAAATAACAAGGTTTCAGTCACTTAAAGAGCAAAAAAGTATAATAGAATACTGAACATGTTCAGATTTAAAAGCTACTTTGAACCAACTTTATAAGGTCTACCATAGCAACTACACTTTCTGAATGTTTTAAATTTTGCTAGCACAGTCAGTTTAAGGAAAAAGCTCAAAAAACTGGACTTTTAAGTATGACATAACCAAAAGTACACTGAAAATAAGACTCAAACAATTCAAGTAGATTTCTATCTTGTATAGAGTGGGTAGAAGCATAACTATTGACCTTACATAGAAATCGAGCTTACACAGAATCACCCTTACATAGGGAAGACAGAGGGTCATTGGGAATGACAAGAACATTAGCCAAAGACACACTATGGATTAACAAACGTTATCTTATATGAATTTAACTTTTCAATGGTTTGTCAAGATCAACATGGCAATGGAAAGAACTTGAATTCTCACCAAGATCACATTAATCATACTTTGTGGTATTCACGGACAGTAAATATCAATACATTATCACTTCTAGTAGTTGTCACAAAGTGCAAAAAATTCCTTTCCTTTGGCTTCATCAATGGTTTCTTCCCAGTTTTTCAGAATCCTCAACACTTCATATGGGAATAAATTTAAAATGTTACCTTCAAGAAACCAAAATCAAACAAAAGCAACACTTCCTAGTCTATATATTAATCCATTCCACTGAGCTTTTGTTTTTTCATACTTTATATTTCCTTTCCTCTTTAGTTGACAAGAGAACAAGTCTAGACATAAATGCTACTATTTCAGTAGAATACTTTACTAGCTATTAAAACAGCTGATTATCTCAATCCTTGAACCCTAGATGAATTCATTTATTAAACAAGTTTAGTTATATCATTGTATCAGTTGAATGACAGAGGTTGAGGATAGGAGATGAGGATATGAACCAAGAACAAGAGTGACAGGAATTATGTAAAAAGGCTTTTTTTAATGTTATATTACAAACTGTAAATATGCAAAACAAATAACCATAATCTATTCAATAATAGTATATAGCTTTAAGATATTCCCTCCTTAGCTATCAAGATCAACCATCAAATTCATCCATATATTAACATATGTTGCTGTTGCAGAAGATGACCAATTGAAACTCTCCTATCAGCTTAGATATATATGGTAGATATGTCTGCGTACTAAAATTAATACTTATTGAGTGCACAAAATACAAATCTGCCTGCAGCTTAACATAGGTTCTCCCAAGAAAGAGAAGCAGCAGAAAGAAAGCACTAGTTTAATCGAGCATTTTTCTACCTTCTAGTAAGGTTTTAAAAAAAAAAGGTGTTGCAACTTTGATATTGAATTTGATCATATCAGGAAAAATATTTCTTTCTTCTTCTTCTTCTTTTTTTTATTTTTTTGGGGCATAGCTCATGATCCTATTAGTTGTAATGTGATACCGTTTGACTCTTGAATTCCACTGATTCAACTTCTATTGAAAATGTTTATTAATTTAGCTTCCTGTTGAAAGTGTCACTCTTCAAAGTTCTCCTTGCGAATCTCACTATCAGGATTTAGGAAGAAACAGACTTTACGACTACTAGTTGGGAAACCAAATTCTGTCAAACATTTCTCCAATTTGGAAAATGCATTGAACAATTTCAAATGAAAATCAAACAAATCCATTTCAAATATTTTAGGATTCATATTACACCTTTCTATAATCCAGTCCGGAGCTAACAAAACGTTGGCCGTGTTGAAACCAGGCCAAGGGGCCTGAAACAATTGCTTCAGTACAGCAGAAAGAGACAGTTTCAAGTGGTCATCCTTAAAACAAGTGTAGGAATAGACTAAACCAAATAGGCAGCATCAACTTCACAAAGATTACTAAGAAGCTAGGTTTTCTTGTTGCTCCGCCACTGATAAATCCTTCCGTTTCTCCTATTCTATATCCAGAAATACTCAACATTTGAAGTACATCTAGTCGAATTGCTGACCACCCTTCAGTCGACAGTACTAACACTCATTTATATCATGAAGCAATCATAGCCAAAAACTGCAGTCAGTTGGAGATGGCAATAGTTGCTTAAAAACCTTTCCAGCTGAAACTTCTTACTTGAGACAAAATTCGACACAAATTATCACAATTTTCGCTATTTCACTTTTGCACCATAGTTTAAAAAACTCAAGTCTGATGTTTGTTTTTGGATTAAAAAATAAATAAATAAAACTTACATATTCCGTTCTCACTAGAACCCCCAAATTAAGCACATTCCAATCAAGAACGACTTCTCCTTCAGTTAAATCACCATTAGAAATATAATCCAAAGCCCTCTATTAACATTACACTACTGCAAATAATACACAAATTTTAGTACAAAATCACGAAAAGAAAGCAGAATTTGCACTAACAAGGAATTCACACTTTACCGTCACTGTGATACCATAAGTGCTGTTCTCTGTGGCAGCTCTAGCACTGATTGTGCTGAAAGATGAAGACTTTAACAGAAACCCCGAAAGATTAGGAGATGGAGAGAAAACCCATGTCGGAAAAAGGCTGATTTGATGATCCAAAGTTGGTACAGAGTTTGAAGTGCATTTCAGCTTATTAGCTTGAGAAAGAAAGAGTCTGTAAAGGGCCGAAGAAACTGACGAAAATGCCAATGAAGACATCAAATTCACACAAAAAGACAGCTGAATTTTGAACCAAATCTTCTTCTTTTTTAGGAATCAGAAGCAACACTGCTATTGCATCTTTGCAAGTATACAAACACGTGGGGATATGCGCAGCAACAGAAGGTGGAGTTTAGAGTGGAAGATGATGATCCACGTGGCAGTTTTGTGTGCCTTTCCACTTTTTGGTTTTGAGTCCTTCACTTATTATGCAACTGAGAAATTGTCAAATTGGTCCCTAACATTTTCACAAAAATTTTTTTTTAGTTCCTAACATTTAAAATCAATCAAAATAATTCCTAACATATAAATTATGAGTCTGTTTGATTCTAATGCTCGTATTTGCTCTTTTTTTCGGCTAAAAATAGCACACCGACATAATTTCAAGGGCAAAATTGGAAATATTTGTTAATCCCAAATTTCCCAAGCTCGAATCTGACTGAAATTTCGGGATTAATCCATAATTTCCCAAGCCCCCATTTGACTGCTTCGCAATTTCATCCCTCGTTGCACGTGCTTTTCGGTCACCTCCTTAGTCATGTTTCTAGGGTGAATTCTTAGTTTGTGATGGAAAAAAAAAAGGATTCTACAACGAGGGCGAATTTTGGAGGGATTTCGGTAATTGGGGTCATCGCATTCCAGAATGCGAGCTCTGAGCTCGGCGAGCTCGCATTTTGAGAATGCGAGCTTAGTACGAGCTCGCATTCTCAGAATGCGAGCTCTGTGAGTTCACATTCGTGGAATGCGAGCTGTGTGAGTTCGCATTCCAGGAATGCGAGCTCCTAGTAACCTCACACCGCCAAGACTCAATTTCGAAAAAAAAAAAGACAAAAGTGAGTTTGTCGAAGCAGAACACCAAACATAGGTAAGAGAAAAGTGAGTTTGTTGAAGCAGAACGCCAAACATAGCTGTCGATTGGGAAAACAAAGATTTCGGAATTGCATTTTAAAAGCACAACAAATAAAACAGAGCTGGTTTCTGCACATCGAAGCATCCAAATACCCGAGCTGACCGGAGCATCCAAAGACTGGTTTCGCGAGCGTCGTTTCCAAAAAATTGCCTGCATTGCCGTCCCAACTCTCCAACAGCATAAAGGTTAGGCTTTTTCACTTGCAATGCCTCAGTAATAGCATTTTAATTTTAATTAATACTTGAATCCAAGACAAGTTCAGATTTGTGGTGAAATTTGGGTTTAAATTTGATGTGGGTTGTGCTTATTTTTGCAATTTTTGTGGTGGATTTGAGGATATACGTTATATTTTTCGAATTCGTACAATGTTTCCACTTTCCAATGTTGGAGCAGTTGATTTTCCGTTTCTGCAATTAGTGCAGAAAAAGCATGATCCGAGCTCGGATAAGACCCTACACAGACGGATCCAAACTCGGATAATATGGATACGAGCTCGGATCCATATTTGTTCACCCGGATCCGAGGGCTCGTCTGATCATCCGTTCCCTCGGATCCGAACCATGTTGGATCCGAGGGATGCCATAAATGATCCGAGCTCGGATCATGCTTTTTCATAATAAATGCGAGGTTTGGTTATTTTTTTTTAATTTTTTTTTGGATGCCGTAGTTCGAAAATTCGAGTTCCGTGAGTTCACATTTGTTACGCGTGTACATTTCTTACCCTGTTCGGATAGGTTGGCAGGGAGTTTTAGTCTATTTTTAAGGGAGGTTCTGTCCAAATTTTCCAAAAACTTCGTTCGGAGTTTTAGGCTATTCGTATCGTCATTTATAGTATATTTCATACATGTTTTCAATTTTTAGTTAAACATCTGGATCTGGATCGAAATTAGTCTATTTAATAGTTCCAATTTCGACCTAGAGTGCACCCTCTTTCATTTGTTTGGACCCTTGGACTACTAATTTTAATTTATTGTCCCAAAAATAGGGATTCATTTCACAGACATGTCTGTAGAAAGACCTCTGCGGGTAAACCTATACTGGGGAGGACAAATACATTACGAGGGTGACTTTGTTTGTTACTTGCCTCGTACTTCCAACCGGACATTCACTTTGAGGCATAGAATTGGATACGGGGAGTTGGTTGACAGGATTTACCACTATATTGGGGTCGATAAAGGGGTGTTCAATTTGAAATTGTTTCTTCGTCAACCGTTGGAGAGTTCGAAATATACTGTTTCCGCAGTGGTGGATGATGAAACTCTTGATGTAATGTACGATCTTTGGATCGAAAGAGTTTCATACATGGCGGAGATTTATATCGAGAAGGAAGAAATCGTCCAAATGCCTGTAGTTAACAGCGTATTCACTGGACCAATAGGTAATGTTGGTCCAATGATGTCGCTTGTACATGCATTCATGGATCCAACAAAGTTTAACTTTGGTTCTAGTTCAGTCGTTCCAGAGACTTCATCGGCATGTCACTATATGCATGATGATCGCTCTATGTATTCATTAGAACCAAGACTCACATCAGGATCCATGGGTGCCTAGGAATATTTTCATGGACTGGATTCGATTCCAAGTTTTGAAGATCCAGGGCCATCAGGCCATATTTCTCCACATGGGATCGATTCTAACCGTGGTCAGGGTTGGCGCAGTTCCCTGAAGATGATGTATATGCTAGTATACATGATAGACTCCGTGCCTCCGAAGAAGATGATCCGGAAGACGATGACGGGAAGTTGATGCGGAAGAGGTTGAAGAGTCGGAGTCGCAAGATGTGTCTGGTAGTGATTCGGATGAAGAGCATGAAGGTGGGGGTTTAAGAGTAAACCTCGATATGTTCCAAGAGGACAGACGCAATAGCACAGCTGGCAGCTCTGCATATGTGCCAAGAGGAATGGCATTTTTCTCCGATCTTGGGAGTATAGATGATGATGATGATATAGAAGAGGAGGATGGATTGGAGCGTATCGTAACATTCACTGAGGAGAATAATAATATACGTCTCCATATGAGATTTGAGAGTAAGCAGCAGCTCAGCCGAGCAGTTAGGATGTGGTCCATCAACCACAATAGGGAGTTCAGAGTTATTGAGAGCAAGAGTAACACGTGGTTTGCTAAATGCAAATCATCAATTGAAAGAACTCCTTCCACTTCAACCGCGCCATCGTATCCACTATGCGACTGGTGTGTTAGAGCCGTAAAGAAAAAGACTCATGAAATGTGGCAAATTACAAAATGGGTCAATGACCATAACTGCTTGGACGACATGATTAGAAATAACAATACAAGCCTGACAGCTTCCGTTATTTCAAGGCACATCCTCCGTAGGGTTGAAGATGACCCTGGATTAAAGGTCAAGAACATACTAAGTTCCGTTAAAGAAAACTTGAAGGTTGATGTGTCTTACAAAAAAGCCTGGTATGCCAGACGTAAAGCAATTGAGCTTGTGTTTGGATCTTGGGAGGCCAATTTTTCCGAACTACCACAGTATCTTGATGCCCTGGTACAATCCAATCCAGGCACCGTGGTGGAGTGGTCACATCATTCGGATAGTTCGGATCGAGTTAAGACCTTTAAGTATGTATTTTGGGCGTTTGGACCGGCTATTGAAGCATTTCACATGTGCAGGCCGGTTATATGCGTTGATGGCACTCATTTGCGTGGCGAATACAAGGGCAAACTCCTTGTTGCAGTCACTCAAGATGCGAACAACCACATTCTACCAATTGCTTATGCCATAGTGGATGAGAAGACGATTTCCAGTTGGTCGTGGTTCATGGAATAATTAAGATATAATATGGCGCTTGATCGACATCCTTTTTGTGTCATTTCTGATCGCCAAAATGGTATCATCTATACTATGACACACTTTGACTATTGGGAGGAACCTTTAGCATACCATCGATTTTGCTTGCGACATGTTAGGAGCAATTTGATGACACATTTCAAAGGTTTACACCTTCGCAAGTTGTGTTGGGCAATGGAAAGGGCAAGACAATTACGCAAGTGACGAATGTTCAGGAGAGAACTGCGAAGCATGTTTCCGGATGCTTGGAATTATCTGTCAGCCATTAGTCCAGAAAAGTGGTGCCTAACACACGACGATGGCCGTCGTTGGGGTATTCTAACTACCAACATATCCGAAAGCTATAATAATGTCTTGCGGGGGGTGCGTCATTTGCCAATTCATGCATGCATTGATATGACATTTCATCGGACAGTTGAGTTATTTAAGAGGAGAAGGGAAGAAGCTTCATATTGTCGCAATCCTTTTCCCCCAAACATATGGCGGCGTTTTAAGAATGCTGAACGGAAGGCAGGCGGCCATAGAGTCGTTGAGTTCGATGGCCCATCGGGCGTATACAAGGTCATCACAGGGCGGCGTGTCGATGGTAAAGGAGGCAATACGCAAACCATCAGGTTTTTTGATAAGACATACTCTTGTACAAAGTGGCAGATATACAGGCGTCTTTGTTCACATGTTTTGGCGGTGTGCAGGATTAGAGGTGACAATCCGGGATTGCTTGTGGACCAACAGTTTACCAAAACAAGGTGGGTCGTCCAGTATTCAGGGAAGTTTAACCCACTGCCGCATCAAGATACTTGGCAACATGTTGGGTGGGACCTGCAAGCAGACAGGAGCAAATTTTTTCACGTCGGGCAGGGCGAGTTCGAGGTAGAAGAATTCAGAATGAGATGGATGAAAGGGATGCAGACGAACCAAGAAGATGTCAAAATTGTCATCAGGCGGGTCACAATAGGAGAAATTGTTTGAATTATAGGTCTTGATTTGATCGACTCCCTAGAAATTTTCACCTAGCCGTCAGTGAGGAATTTTTTTTTGTCGGGGGTAAAGGAGCTAGTTCATTTGTGTAATTTTCTGGATTTATTTTAAATAATTACATTACTGACTTTCATTGTTCATTAGTCAAATGCATGCTTCATTTTGTACTTTGATATGTATTGAAATAACTAGTTTACACGTGCAGCCCAACAGTTTTATTCATTGGTCGCTAAATCCCCTATCCATTGATTTGTAACTTATATGTTAAAGGAATGCTTGGAAGATGTGTTATATATGTAAGCACTCTTGCATGTACAGGATATGTCATTTTTGTATATAGATTGGCAGGGAGTTATGGCCGCTTTATAGGGGAGATTCTGTCAAATTTTTATATTAATTGGTAAAATATAAATACAAATACATTGCTGCACGCTATGAATACATAGAGGGATAACAAATGTTA